ACGTTTGGCTAGATATATAAACCCTAGATCAAGCATGACTTTTATAAACCCAAAGAGGTTTTTTGCAATTGGGACACCCTTGAACCTCAAGTTTGCGAATGCAAACGATGGCCATGGGTAAGCTACTTTGATGAGACTAGCCATATATGAATGCTAGACCCAAAAATCTTTGGCTCATGAGCACTTATAGCTGTCATCTAGAAGTCTTAATCACATCACCCCAAAACCACTCAAGATGGCAAAAATTATTCCTGAAATCTATGATGTTTAAGATTGTATTGCTAGTATAATCCTAGAGGTTTACATCCAAAACTGGCCAAGCAATGAAGCCACTATTAAATAGAATATAAATCACTAGGTTCGAATGGGATTATAACTTGCAAAAGTACCCCATCCATGGATGTGATGACCACCCCCGAGGTGCAACAGCAACTAGAATGGGTGCATAAACATTTATATATTAGTGGGGCTGATAAAATAGCTAACACACATTCTTCTGCAAAGCATTAGCCTACGGGGAGGCACTTGCGCTAATGAACAACGAAGCCTTCTCGCTTGTAGTTTCGGACAATATTGTCCCTAAAACACCCAAGATAGTTGTAAAACAACTACTTGGCAACTCACTCTTATAGAATTTCCTACCTCAATGACCAAATCTCTCATATATATGGAAATCTACAAAGCGCATAAAAACAAAATGCATTGATTAATGAACGTGGATGGATGTGTTTTCTTGGAAATCACAATATGCCTAATAAATATCCTAAAAGGGATATAAAAGGCATGGGCAAAGTTCTTTAGAGGAAAAATAAGCACATGCTAGATACTTGGATCTACACAAGAGTTTACAATAAATTCCCCTGATAGAATCACAATAATCTATATTAGAGATATAACCAAATGCTATGAAACAATTTCCCTTGAAGGGGGCCAAGGCTTTATGATGCCTATAACACATCTTGTCAACTTAGTTTTTGCACACTAAAATCACCTCCAAAAAGACTTTATTTTTTTTCTGATCCAAACGAAGAATGGCAAATTTGAGGCTGAATGGAAACCTCTACACTACTCATTCGTAAAAGCTACCAAAATGAAACCAACAAAAGTCATCAAACTAAACAACTTCATCATCTACTTGAGGAACAAAGTATAGAGATAGGTCTGAGGAATCCCTATGGGTTTCTTATGCTCATCTTTGTGGTGTAACTTGTACCTCTTTTACTTCAAGTAGAATTTTCTTACTCGACTTGCATGATTAGGCCAATATGATTTACTCTGCCTTTTCAAATATACATTTAGGTACATGGATGATCTTGTATCGATGAACAATATTATGATCCTCTGCTTCCTTGACCCTAATCAAATCAAATCAGAAGGAAATCCATTCTAGATATATCCACTACGATTCCTTGCCATGCAAAATGAGATGGAAAATCCATTTATTGGCACTGATGGCTTGCTCATAAATCTGTCAACTCATTTCTTTAGCCTTCAAATCCATATTATATGGGTTGATGATACTTTTCTAACAACAAAGTACAATAAGTGCAAATCACTTCCATTCCAAATCTCGATATACATCCATCGAGATTCTAATTACCCTACTTGCATGACTGATGCTTGTGAGCCAATGTACTCAGGTACATGTCCGGACTGCACATCCCAAGTGACTTTCAAGGACTAGATCTAGAAAACATGTTCAACTTTATTGCTTTTCGTTGCCTCATGAATCTCATTATTTGGTCCAGTCACTGTCATTTTGTCTTTTTTCTATGGGGGCAATTAGATATTGGATCAATCAATATCATAAACACTACCTAAGTAGAGTCTATGAAAGCCCCTTGTGTCACTGAATTAAGTTTGGTGCTTTGGCCATAAAGAGTTCTTATAGGCCGGGGGTGAAGAGAAATGTAGAAACTAAATCATTTGTATCTATTTCTGTGCAACCAAAAAAGTGGTAGTAAGATTCCTTGCGGCTTTAGTAGTGGGTGTGAGCTCGTTTTGAACTAGACCCAAACAAACACTTCATTAGCACTACTCATTCTTGTGATGCACAACAAAGCAGCTATTGATCCTGGTGTGGGCGAGGAATGCACGTGGTTGTGTTAGTGCACAACCCTGCAACTGCCCACTTGCTCTACTTATGGATGCACTCCTGGAGAATGCAGCAGTGGTAGATACAAGTTAAAAACCCTAATGTTAGGGTTTTCCCTGTTGCTTCATACTTTTTGGTGTGAGAAAATCCAGTGCCCATGGCCATGAAGTCGAAGAAATATAACTTGTAATTAAGTTTGCCTAGCCAAACAGCATGTTTCTTAGGGCAAGATTCTACGAAGAATCCAAAGTTTTGTTTTTTACCATACTACGTCTACTCATATGTCCCATATCATGTTGATAGGATAACAAAGTTTTCTGTAAACAAGACTTTTTTTTAAAAAAATCCTTTATTATCAAACCATGAAGTTTGTCCTATTGTGGGAATATGAAATTTGTGTTGTATTTTCTAGTTGTCAAATAGAACACAAATCTAATCAATGGTTCACTTATGCTATTTGTTTTAAGTGCAACCAAAGAATTTATGGTAAGTTTAGGGAATATGTTCTTTTGTTGTTCTCTATCCAAAAAGGCATAGAAACCGAATCTATTATATTTCAATAAAATGCCTAAGGAGTGGAATGCATTAAGTAAAGGACAGAATCTTCTATTCTCAGTCTAAGTTTGCCAAATCATCAAGATGTGGTGGGTGATTGGCCAGTTCTCTCCAAATGTTAAAGAGAATGTCAAGTACTGCTTGTACCAGTGTTAATGGGTTAGTCAAAATAATCTGGTCTAGACTGCGAAGGATAAATTGTCTTAGTGCAAATCGATGGGATCTATTTGCCACAAAGCACTCAACAAGATTATCAATCTCAAGGATGATACCACCAATAGTATTAATTAGATAGAAGAGTGCAAAAATCTATCTCAAAATTACTTTAGATGCATTTACAACCTCATTTTATTCTTAAATCTTAGCTTTGCACCTTTATAAAAATGAGAGATAGAGCTAGCAATAATCTTCATCTTCCATGATATAAATACCCCTTGGATACCTAAACCATAGGAGGTGACATTAGAAATGTTTGGAGATATCATTTTGGTTGTGATTGATACTGGGTTACTAGATGGATAGTCCTATGCCCTAGACAAATGTATTGGAAATGGCCTAGTTGATCTGCTTAACTATAAATCCCACAGGTCATAAAATATTCTTAGAATATTTCTCCTTCATGAATGACAATCTTGAGAACCTATATAGTTTTGCATAAAAGGAGTTTAATGCAATACAACCATGGAAAAAAGATGTGCAAATAGCAACATTAATATTGCAACAAAAGGTCAAAGCAATACAGATTTCTCACATGACAATACAATTATGAAAATAAAAGAATGAGAATATAACAAACAACTCAAATTATATAACAATACGGCTTTAGAATTCAATTGTCCCCTTTCTTGGGAATATCATCTAAGTCATAACTAAAATTTGAAAACACTCTCTTCACATTATCCTTAGGTTTTCTTCATAGTATTGTGGGCTTTAGATAATTTTGCAACATGTGAGAGATTTTGCTTACACTTTGGACTTGTTAGATAGTTTAAAGATTCATTCAATGTTCCATGTGAGCAAATTTGAAGAGTGTTTACATTTTGGTAATGTCGTGGATTAGTTCATCATCTAGGTCTTAGATATTGATGCTAAAAAGGCTAGTGTAGCTAATATTTTTGCTCAAAAATTGCTGAAAACACATTAAAAGACAAGCTAAAAATTGTTTGTTTAGTGGAATGGATATTTTATAGATGAAGCTTTGTGGGAAACTAAAGATGACATAAAGAGAGTGTTTTCAAGTGTTAAATGACATTCCTCAAGAAGGGGAGAATTGAGTTTTATAGCTGTATTATTATATGATTTGAGCCATTTATTTTATTCTCATTCTTTTATTTTTATGACTGTATTAATTTATTTCTTTTGTGGCTGTTTATTACAATGTTAGTATTGCTATTTGCACATCTTTTCTTCATGGTTGTATTGCCTTAAACTCCCTTCTATGAGGTTCATTTAACTTCTCAAGACTACTGTCCATGGTTAATTCATGAAGGAGAAAAGAATAATATAAACCACAAGAATATTCTGAAAATATTTTATAATCTGTGGGATTTAAAGCTAGAATGCCTTTTAAAGGTTGGGAGGTTGTTATTTGGAAATCCTTAATAAAATTGGTAAAATCTTTAACCTTTTTAACTTTAGTTAAACTTTAGTAATTTAGCATTTTTACTACATAATAACATTATCAAGAGTCTCTTCTTTTTTGTTATAGCCATCATCATTAATGATACATCAGGATCTATATCAAAGATCTACTAGATATAAATGAAGCAAACCTTAAGCTAACCTTTAATGAGGCATAAAATAATCTCAAAATATTCCTGTGGTTTGTGTCCCAAGACAAACGACTGCTTGAGGACCATGGTTTGACCTCTCTGGATGCCTGATTTTTTCCAGACAACCTTAGCTGGAGAAAAGGATTTCTTCCAACCACAAAAGCAGATGGGAATTAATTTGAATAAACTTAAAGATCGTGAAGGTATAGACTCAAAAGAGCACTTTCAGTCCTGTTTCATTCCAATGCCTCATATCACCATATGGCTGCAGATGTTAATATCAAATAAGTAACCTACCAAACAGAAGGCTACAGTGGAGACGACCTGACAAACATCTGTCGAGATGCATCCATGAATGGCATGCGGCCAAAGATTGCTGCAAAGACAAGGGACGAGATAAAGAACATGAAAATGCGATGTGCGATTTTGAGGAGGCACTGTCCAAGATCTCAAGAAGTGTACGAAGGTAGACATTGAAAGGCACGAGAAGTGGCTCACAGAGTTCGGTTCCGCCTAAGTTTGTCAACAGGAGCACCGTGAAAGCTACCAAGGTACGTTTTCACTCTCACAAGTTTCATTCATTTGCTGCCTGCCAGGAACACGTATGTTACTGCATCTTGCTTGCCGAGTTGCTTGACCATCTTTGCAGCTAGTGCTCCGTTCTCATAGTTTCTGTGGCTCCTGCAGGCAGCAAGGAGGCATCGCCACTCGGACGCATCTGGCATGTAAGGCATGCAGAGGATGAGATCTCGAGCATCAACCAAGCGTCCCGCCCGCCCGAGAACATCGATCATACACCAGTAGTGTTGCTTGGTGGGCCGGATGCCAAAGTCCGAGATCATCGACATAAAGTTGGCTCTACACTCAGACACTTCCCCGGCGTGACTGAAAGCGAGCAGGACAGAGAGAAAGCAAGCCTCGTCTGGAACATCTACAAGCTTCATCACATGGAAGAAATGGAACGTGTTCCTCTCCCGGGCACAGAGGCTGAGCAAGACACTCCAGGAAACCAGACTCGGTGATGGGATCGTATCAAACAGCTTCTTGGTGGTGTCTAGGCGACGATCGTTTCTCCCAGCGTGAGCAGCTAGCATCGTCGTCCAGGATATGGAATCCTTGAGCGGCATTTGGGAAAAGAGCTGGCTGGCGGAGTAGAAATCTCCCTCGACGAGATGAGCCGAGAGGAGTGAGTTCCAGGAGGCGAGACTATGGTACGGCATGTCTTTGAAGATTTTCTTTGCTTCGTTTGCGAGCTCATGCTCACCGTACATTGTCAGCAGGACGTTCCAGGAGACCACATCACGCTGCGGCATTTGATCAAACAGGTGCTTCGATTTCTCCAGATGACCCTTTCGGGCATTTGCGGCAAGAACAGTGGTGCAAGAAACAAGATCATGCTGGGGCATTCTCTGGAAAACTCGGTTTGCCGCTGCAAAGTTCTCCTGCTGGGTATAACCAACGAGCATGGTGGTCCAGGATATCAGATCTCGCCCCGGCATCTCAGCAAAGACGACGTTTGCTTCTTTGGTATGACCAATCTGGGCACAAGCGCCAAGAATGGAGTTCCAGGAGATGAGGTCTCTCTCGGGCATCTCCTCAAAGGTACTTCTCGCGTTTTCTATCTGACCACACTTTCCATAGGCTGACAGGAGTGAATTCCAGGCAACGAGATTCAGCTGTGGCATAGCATCGAAAGTTTTCTTGGCGGCTATGGTGATCCCGCTCTGGGCATACGCAGCGAGCAAGGTGGTCCATGAAACCAAGTCCGGCTCGGGCATACCAGAAAATACTCGCTCCATCTCTTCCAGGCTTCCAGCACCGGAGAAAGCAGCTAGCATGGCATTCCAGGAGATCACGTCCCTCCCCGGCATTCCTTCGAAGACCTTTTTGGATTCTTCGATATGCCCGTTCTGGGCATACGCGAGCAGCATAGTTGTGGAGGCCACCAAACTCCGAGACGGCATTTGGTCGTAAAGTTCTTTGGCCCGGGAGAGATTTGCAGCTCCACCGCTCCTGCAGAAGATGGCCAGCATAAAATCCCAGGAGTAGGAGTTCCTGGAGTTGTCCATGGACGCGAAGATCTTGGAAGCGTCCTCTATGCTGCCGCAAGCACCGAACATCTCGATGAGCTTGTTGAGAACGAGAGTGTCGGAGCTGAGGCTGGCTCCGCTGGAGAGAATCCGAGCGTGGAGCTCCCGGGCCTTGGGAAGCGTCCGGCAAGACTCAATGAGCTCGAGACACTCCCTTCGGTCCATTCATTCACAGGTATGAACGAAAGAAAACGTTGCAACTTATCTTTGCTTGTCTCGCAGGACGAAGGTGTTGGCCAGGAGGACGTAGCCAGCTCCATCCCGCGGATCCAGATCGAGAACTCCTTGCGCAGCTCGAGATCCATGATCGACATCGCTGTGGCTCCTCGACGCTCCAAGCAAGCTCCTCCACTCGAGAGAGTCGGGAGCAAACGGCATGGTGGCGACGAGGCTCTCGGCGTCACGTAGAAAACCAGCACGGCCGAGGAGGTCGACCATGCAGCGGTAGTGCTGCCTCGCCGGCCGCACGCCAAAGTCGCCACTCATCGACGCAAAGTAGCTCTTCGCCAGGAAAACTCGTCCCAGGTGGCTGCAAGCGATGAGCACCGAGACGAAGCTGAGACGATCCGGAGAGTCAAGCAAGCTCGCGTTTCCTTCCGCAAAGAGATCAAGCGCTTCGCTCGAGTGGTCATTGTATGTGTAAGCGGCAAGCATCGAGTTCCAGGAGACAAGGTTGCGCTCCTCGGGCATTCGATCAAAGATGCGCTTGGCCGTGGCGATATGCCCGTTCCGGGCATACGAGGAAAGTAGCGCGTTCCATGACACAAGATCATGATCGGGCATTTGCTCAAACAATCGCTCGACGGCTTCGATGCGACCATTGAGCGCGTGCGCTGCGAGCATCGCGTTCCATGCAACGAGATCTCTCCGCGGCATTGCATCGAACATGTGTTGTGCATGGTCGATATGCCCGGCCTGGGCATACGCGACGACCATCGAGATCCAGGACGAGGGGCTTCGCTGCGGCATAGACTCGAAGATTCTCTTCGATTCTTCCGGATGGCCGGACTGGGCATATGCTGAGAGAAGCGAGCTCCAAGAGATTGGGTTGTGCTGCGGCATTGAATCGAAGCACGACTGAGATTCCCTAATTGATCCGTTTTGCGAGAATGCTGCCAGCATCGCATTCCAAGAAACTTGGTCTCTTTCGGGCATTTTCTGGAATATTTCTCGCGCTTCGTCCAGATGCCAGGACTGGGAGTATACGCACAGCAGCGCCGTCCACGTCACTAAGTTGTGCTGCGGCATCTCCTCGAACAGGGTCTTGGCATATTCCGTGGCGCCGGAATGGGAATATGCGTTTAGCAGGGCCGACCACGATACCATGTTCCACTCTGGCATTTGTGAAAAGATTTGCTTTGCCGCGTCAGGATGCCCACCCCGGGCATATGCCGCCACCATGGCAGTCCACGTCACGAGGTCCCGGAGCGCCATGTCATCAAACATCGACTTGGCGCGCTCCAATTGCCCGGCGCTTCCGTACGCGTTCATCATGGCCGTCCACGACACGAGATTCCGGCACGGCATGTCATCGAAGATTTCCCTGGCGACTATGACATGCCCCTCCTGCGCAACTGCGGACAGCACGGTTGTCCAGGAGACAACGTCCCATTGGGCCATGTGGCGGAAGTGGGCGCTTGCCAGCTCAGCATGCCCGTTCTGGGCATATGCCGCCAGCATGGCATTACACGCGGCGAGATCGGGTTGCTGGATGGAATCAAAGACATCCTTGGCCTCGAGAATATGCCCGTTGTGGGCATATGCTGCAAGCATCGCGGTACACGAGGCCACATTGTGCCGCGGCATTGCCTGGAATATCCTCTGGGCATTGTCGAGATGCCCATTCCTGGAGCACGCAAAGAGGGTCATATCCCAGGTAAAGGAGTTCTTGTGTGACATGGAGTGGAAGATGTTTAGGGCGTGGTGGGCGCTACCGCATTTGCCATACATCTCTATGAGCTTGTTGTGGAGGAAGAGATCTTGGGGAAGAACTAGGTCTGGCTGGAGCTTGCGATCGATCTCCTTGGCGGCTGGGAGGGATTTGCACGCCAAGATGAGCTTGAGGCACTCGTTCTTGTCCATCGGGATTTTAGGGTTCTTCTGGGGGTCGCGAAGATATTTGGGGAAATGCTGAGAAGGGGATTGCGATCGCTCGCGGTTCTCTCCAGGTCGGCGGCAGCGCCCGAGGATTCGCAGCACTGCGCGGCGCTGCTGGCGGCATTGTCGAGCAGGGATCCAGATGCGTCGCTACGGGGGCTGGATTTTGTGCCCAGCGCCTTCTCGCTGGGCAAGGCGCTCGAGAGGTCTCCCAGCGCCAATGCCGCGCTCCAATGCTTCGCGTGGGCGTCCGGCCTGCCCGGATTTCGCCATGGATTCCAGGCCTGCAACGCGCTGCTCGTGGCGCTGATCAAGAACGGCCGCCACAGGGAAGCGCACGGGATTTTCGACTCCCAGCTCAAGAGTCTCGCCCCGCCCGATGCCTCCAGCTATGGAATCCTCGCTAACGCCTACGTCCAGGCCGGGGATCTCGATGCCGCCGTGAAGCTCTTGCGCGATCTCCCGGCCTCCACCACGGCCAATCTCGCCACCTATCTCTGCGTCATGATGGGCCTCTGCCGCGGCAAGCGATCCATCGACGCAATTGGCGTGCTCCGCGAGATGCAAAAGAGGAACGTCGTGCCGGAGCTCGCGACGTATCTCATGCTCATCGAGGGCCTGGGAAGGGATCACAGGGTGAAAGAGGCCTTCGATCTCTTCCAAGAGATCCATGCTCGAGGATTCACTGCCAAGGCCTCGAGCTATAGCTACATCGTTTGCGGCCTCGCGAAGTATGGATACTTTGACGAGGCTGTGGAGCTCTTCGAGGAGATGATCCGGAGGAAGGTGGCGCCGCCGCTGGGGTCTTGCATTGGGATCTTGAATGGCTACTGCCAGGATGGAGGGAAGATGGAGCAGGCGATCCAGCTCTTCCGGAAGATGGAGGGCGAGTATGGCTGTCCTCCAAACACGTACGCTTACAACGTTCTTCTCACGGGATTGAAGAAGAAGGATCGAGTGGAGGAGATGAGGGAGATGTTTTTGGAAATGAAGGAGAAGGGCTGCGAGCCGAATCTAGTCACGTACTGCACGTACATTCTCGGGCTGTGCAAGGCCGGGAGAGTCGACGATGCGATGGTGGTGAAGAAGGAGATGATCCAGAAGTCTTGCTCGCCGGACAACGTCGTCTATAGTATCCTCATCAACGCGTTCTGCAAAGTCGGGAAGATCTACGAGGGCGAGAAGCTGCTGGCGGAGATGCTGGAGAAGAAGCTCCAGCCGGACGTTGTGTGCTTCAGCTCGCTCGTCGATTGCCTGGACAAGGCTGGTCGATACGGCGACGCTTATCGGCTCTTCCGGAGGATGATGGAGCAAGGGTGCAAGCCGGATGCTGTCATCGCGTCGGTGATTCTGGACTCTTTCACGAAACGGGGAGAAGTAGCGCAGGCTCTGGAGCTCGTCAACGAGTTCGTGGACAGGGACTTGCCGCTTCCATCGGCGGGATCTATCAACCAGCTCGTCAAGAGGATTGTGGTGGGCGACAAGGTGGAAGATGGCGTCCGGCTACTCAAGACGATGGCATCCAGAGGCTCCAGGCCTCTGCAGTGCTCGTATGCGACTTTGTTGAGGGAGCTCTGCCGGAGGAAAAACGCTGTCGAGGCGCTGGAGCTGGTGAAGGAGATGCGAGCGGCTGGCTACACGTCCGTGGATCTCTCGTGCGTGATCGAGATGCTGTGCAAGATGAAGATGGTGGACGAGGCCCGGGGGTTGTACGAGGAGATGAAATCCTCGCAGCAGCAGGAGCTCCTCCCGAGCGTCTCCACTTACAACATTCTTTTGGAGCGCTTGTGCGGCGAGGGACGGCTGGGCGATGCCAAGGACTTGTTCCAGGAGATGATCGAGAGCGGCCGGATCCCCGACGTGAACTCTTACGAGATCTTGGTGGAGGCGCTGTGCAAGGCCGGGAAGATCTTCCAGGGGCACGAGCTGTTCAAGCAGCTCATCTCGCTGGGATTCATTCCCAGCAGCGAGATGTGTGCTACGATCGTCGACGGACTTTGCAAGCACCAGTCTCGAGAAGAGAAAAGCGAAGAAGAAGATGAAGATGACGCGGAAGAAGCTCTCAGGGAGATGATCGATAGTGGATTTGTGCCTGACGACGTGATCGGTGACGTGATCAGAGAGCTCGAGGCACGAAAGAAACGAAGAAATAACAGGAATTTTTCTTCTTAAAGTTCTTTTTGCTTGGGTTAGATGTTGTTACACTGAAAGTTTGACTGAAGCAGTGTCGTGGACTAGACTCTGGTGTTTGACTAACTAGAACAGTGTCTTTGACTACGACTTAGTCAGTCAAACAAGTAAGTCATGCACATTTACTTTCGTACACACAGCAAAACTAGTCCCTATAAAAAATGTGAGTGTCTTCATTCATTCGCAAGGAAGAGGATTCATTCACCATGATAAAGAAGCTGCAGATCATAGTGGTCGCAATCTTGGTTGTGGTTCTTAATGTTGCTTTTCATGGTGTTGCAATGCGCCCCATGGCCCAAGAGACGAAGATGGTGTACGGAGTGATCAAGGTTCCTCATTTGGAAGTTCCCGCTTCTGGGTTCTACAAGCGACCGTAATCGTTTCTAATCTCATGTGTAGCAGAAAGCTGTCACGAATAAGGCTGTGAGAAAAGCAAATTGCTGGAGGATTGTCAAACAGCTTTGCTTAAGAAGATAGAAATGCATTGCTACATATCAATGAAGAGAAAATAGCAACGTAACCTAAGCTACTCAGGTTTCCTTCTCCTGCTTCTCACTCTCGTTGACATTGCTCACTTAGGACATGAATCTTGCGAGTAAGATGCTTGAGATTCTCATTCTGTTGTTTGATCTCCTCATTCTCCTGTTTGATCATCTTGATGTGCTCACTTACCGCTTCAACCTGGTGACTGAAAGCCTTAAATTTCCTGGTTCTGGTTCATACTTTCAGCCACTACTCGAAATTGTCCTTGCCGACTGTTGAAGTCATTCGTCTTGTTGGCCAGCTAAATAGTTTCGTGCTCAGCTTCTTGAAGGCCTTCCAACTCTTTCTCCACTCCCTTTTTTCATCCACGAGCTGTTGGGCTACAAGGTCAGAGTAAGGTGAAAAGTCGCGACCGAGACTGTGAGAGGTGCTGGAAAGTGCAAAGGGAAAGTTGTGAAACCTTGACCGATGTCTTGGCAAGAGTTCGCGTTTTGGATTGTACGCTCTGTGCGAGGCAGCCATCAAGGCGTACAAGCCATTCGTGGAAGCCGTGAAAAAGAGAGGTATAGAAAATATGGATCTGGTTATGGTTGTATTCTTTAAGTTTTTACAGGTGTGCAAAAGGCTTGCAAAGTTCTCAAGGGAAGGAAAAGATGGCTTAATTCCAAAGACGGACAGGCGATCCAGCTCTTTCGGAAGACAGAGGACGAGAATGGCTTCACGTACATACTCTTTTCACGGCATTGAAGAAGGATTGGCGAGGATCGTCACCACCATCGCACCGGCCTTGCAAAGCCCGAGGTTGTGACTTCACTAGACTCGGCTGGCACTCGGACAACATCGTCTTCAGCATCCCCAACGTGTACGAGGGGCAAGAAGCAGCTGGCAGGATGCTGGAGAAAGGAGATTATTTTTGCACAACCAAAAGATTAAACTCGCGATCGATCGAAATTTACATCATCAAAAGTCCCACCGTTTACCTGCCACTGCCCAAAAAGAAATAAACGGTCTAGCCAACCCACCTCTAGCCCAAAGAACCGCTACTGAAGGACACGATCAGCACCATAGATGTATGTCTCCAGCTCGTTCACCCTGCTCATCAAGGCTGCCACCTCAGCACGTGTTGCCTGGTTCTCATTTGTGAGAACCTGATTTGCATCAGCAAGAGCCCTGCCCTGCTGAGCCACTGTAGAGAGCAGCAGGCTCTGCTGCTTGAGCTCCTCATTCTGCTGGGTCAGAACCTCAACCTTCCGGGTCAGAACCTCATTCTGCTGGGTCAGAACCTCAACCTTCCGGGTCAAAACCTCAACCTTCCGGGTCAGAACCTGGCTATCCACCCTCAAAGCTTGGATCTCGCGGGTTTGCTGGCTCATGGCTGCTTGAAAGTCCTGACGAAGTTGCTCGACCTGGTTCTCGAGATTGTTGACGTGTGTGGTCTTCTCGGCCAGCTGCCTGTTCTTAGTTTGCAGCTGAGTGGCCAGCTGCCTGTTTTTGGTCTCTAACTTGCCCTCCAGATCCTTCTTTGCGTCCTCTACATCCTTCTTTGCGTCCTCTGCATTCTTGAGCTGCGAGGTCACAAAATCAAGAGAAGCATTGTACTGCTTCTTGAGACTCTCCTTCTGGGCAAGAAGCCCTTTCTTCTTCAACGTTGAGACAGTGAGAGTAGGAGGACGGGCAATCGCAGCCCACTGGCTCACAGTCCTGTCCGCATTGAGGAAAGCTGAAAAAAACAAAGAAAGCACAGAAAAATGAAGTTAGCAATGTGTGTGATCTCGCAAGGACCACATACCTGGTGGGTACAGTGTGAGGTCCTTCCGGTCAATGCCAGTAGCCGCTGAGATCATGCTTGCAGCCTTGACTGCACAAGCAGCAATCACATCATGAGCCTTCGCACTCTTCTGGGCCAGATGAGCGAATGTGAGATCCTTCTCCGTGTACTGGATAAGTACCACGATCTCGTCGGGACCGGGAACAGGAGGAGCCTCCTCCTCGGGCTTCTCTTCGGATGTCGCCATTGCCTGGTAGCGAAAACGTGGCATGAGGAGTAGCGAAAATGCGGCACGAGAAGGAGTAGCGAAAACGCGGCGCGATCATACCTTGGATGCACTGGCCCTGCCGCGCCACCTTCCAAGCGCCGACCTAAACCTAGAAGCGGAGAAGTTAACATTATATAGTGTAGCACATGGCAAATCCTCACCGTTGATCTCTGTTTTTAGGGTTCTTAGTTCTTGGACAAACAGGTCAAACTTTTTCCACAAGTTTCAAAGAAGCGACCTGCTATTGCAGTAAATCCTGTTGCTGCTTCAACGAGGCTCTCGAGTAAGCACCAATGCCGCCGCGAAGAGAATGAGAACTCCTTCCTCGGCCCCTCATCCCTGACGATGCTGCTGGAGGCGGCGGTGGCGCGAGCTTGAGTGGCGGCTGAGACTGGCCTGGCGACGAGAAGAAATCGTCCAGCTTGGTAGCAATGCCGTTGTTGTTGTGATTCTTGTTGTTGTTGATGCTGTTGATGCTGCTGCTGCTGCTGCTGCTCAGGGAGGAAGCCACTCCGTATACCGCGTTGCCAGAGCTGTTTCGCGGAGGCCAATCTGCGAATGGATCGAAATCGTCTCCAAAGGAACTGCTCACGTCTGGTGCCCCGGACGAGAAGCTTTGAGTGGTGCTAGCTCCAACTGTGCCTGTGCCTGCTTTCGGTGGCCACTCCCAGTCCAGAGGCATGCCCCCTGAAATTGTTGGCGTCGGAGTTCTCTCGTTGAGAGGCCTGGCATTTGGAGTAGAAAAGTCTGGCGAGACAGGCTTCTCTGGCTTTGTCGTGGATGAGAAAATGGAACTCTCTGCTGGTGTTGTTGTCGCGGAAGAGAAGATGGCGGCAACCTGCTCAGGTTTTGTGGCTGAAGAAATCGCCTGCGTTTTGGAAACTCCCGAGCTCCAGTAGTCCGCGTCCCAGCTGTTTCCCTTGGTTGACGGGGGCCCTCCGTTCATACTGATCCCTTCTTTGGCTGCCTCGCCATCCTTGAGTCCCCGCTTCTCTTCAATTTCCCTGCCGAAAAAGAAGCTTGTTATCAACTGCGGGTCCCTAGAATAGCAATGAAATGATTGGCGAACCTCAATATTTCCTTCACAAACTGCATGTACTTCGTGAATTGCTGAAGATTAAGCTGCTGAGCCGTCAATAGTGGTGTCAAGAGTGGTAACAAATGTTCGGCAGCAAATTCCACGCCAAACTGTGACAAAGCAGTGAGTCCAGTAAACTTTGCAAGAAACAAGATAGTACTTGTTTGTAACTGGCATCGGCAACCCCCAGGGTGCACATTAGAGTTGGAGCAGAATGATCCACAGCGGTACATCGTTGCAATGTTTGTAAAACTTCTTTGAATGAGTTTTTATCCAGTCGAGGGACAAGCTCACCCAGACACAAAAGTGCATTTACGCGAACCTGCAGAAAGGAACACGGTGTGAAAAAGAAAAATTCAAAGAAACCATAAAGTCTTACCGCAGCTATTGTTGTCTTCAAAGCCAGGCCGTGTATTCTGGGTAAGATCGACTGCTTAAGAATCTGCAAGCCAGTGTGACGAGGTTACCAGAAGAGATGCTGACACACCCACCTGATAATCTATTTGTTTAGCAATGCCAATTGTACGTTTTAACACTTCCTCTTGCATCCTCGCATCTGGATCATCGTATGCCCGAACGAGCATTGGAACAACACTCGTCGATAGATGTTCTGAGGTAACCTGGAACAAGTGAAAAGAACAAGCTTAAGGCAACAGACCTTTAAAAGTGCACAAGAGTACCTTGTACCTTATTTATCAATAACGCAGCATGTTTAACCAGCAATAAAAGAGATTCGCCTGTTGCTGAGCTCAAGACAGGGAGCAATGCTGGAAGAGTCGAGGATTCAAAATCAGCCTTTTCCTGCAGCAGTATACTAAGCTCCCTAGGTGAACTCGATATATATACTTTTACAACATAGGAAAAGAAAAAGGAAACAGACCTGAGACTCGGCAATTGTAAGAACCATTGGCAGCACCATCGGAAGCATGACCACATTTCTCAGCTCCAAGCAAAGCGGCGGCAATACCTGGCTTACAACACTGTTAGTAAAACATGGATTCGCACGTGGGTATGACTGCAAACCTTGTAACGGAGCACACGAGGATCGAATTCCGTCCACATGCCTGAAAGCGCTTTTAAGAAGTCAGATTTCTGGATGTTGTCTCGTTCCTATAACCATCCCAGTTGGTTATTTCTTCGAAACAGTAGCAGTAACTTACAAGCATATGATCCAAAAATCTTAGTGCTCTCAGTCTTGTATCTTCTCGGAAGAATGGGGAACCTTGATGAAAAACAGAGAGAAAAAATCGGTATCACGGTTATCAAGAAAAACCTACGCGTACCAGTGAATTCTGAGGCAGTTGGTCTGGAAAGCTCTGCCGGGCTCAGCATACGTTTCAAATCATGTACAAGCTCGGGAGGAATCTTTGAAAAGCTTGCACTAGCCAGATACTGTACCTTGGCCTTGTACTGCATAGAAGCAAGGCAAATATGGATTAGACATTCATATCACCTGCCAATGCTTGGAGGCCTTACCGCTCTTAGATTGTTCTTGCACAGCACCAAAGGTTCACGAGACAGGAGATGGTATATAAGGCATCCCAAACTGAAAATGTCAGAACATGATCCCGGGTTCCCATTACTTCGCGTTAGCTCTGGCGCGGTATAATTCAATGGTGGTTGCAGCGGCATCACAACTTCGTCCACATCATACTCCTGAAGACACGGATACTCAATGAGCACTTCTCACGCAAGCTGGTATGAGTTACACGTACTGGATAGAGAAAAGATGCTCCCGCCCCAGCTTCAGCAGCTGTTTGTTCTACAGTCGCTGCGAATCCAAACCCGCCGAACTTCCAGGATCCAGTGGATGTGATAAAAACTGACTGCGGAGAAAACCGAATTAATTGATGAGAAGCTACTGTGATTCACAGCCTACCTCGGGTGATATGGCTCTGTGAACAAGCTGCGCATTGTTGTGCAAGAAACTCAGAGTTTCCGTTAGCTGGAGCAGTCCGTGTTTGATCTCCAAGAGCCCAAGCTCCTGCAAAGAAGATTTACTCTTTTTCACTTATAGAAGAAACAGCATACGTACCAAGCCTCTGAGCTCTTTAGGTGTCTTTGAAACGTTTTCCAAGTTGCCAAGAACATTCGCGACCGACGCAAAGATTGGTTCCGTCACCATCGCCATTGCCGTCTTGCTCTCGTCCAGCGCCTGGACCACTCGAAGAACTCCCGGATGCCTCAATTTGAGCATCTGCCCCGCATCAGCCCTCACAACCTCTAGAAACGCATCCTCTGCCGCCTTGGTGATTCCAATCCTCTGCCTCGTCTCCGACAAGAGCTTCTTATCTAGAACCCACACACAGACCTCGGGATTGTGAGCGTGCTCGGCCTTGTTCCTTGGCCGTCCCGAGTAGAGCTTCCACGCAAGGGCCGGACCTCCCGACCCGATCTGCTCAACCAGCTCGTAATCCTGGAGCGGCTTGGGCCCGGTCACCTCCTGGACGGTGCTCTGGACGTGCTTCTCGATCACCGCGGCGGTCTTGGCAAGCGCCTGCGTCAGGCTCTTCATGTTGAGCGCCATTGCGTGGATCTACCGATCGCCTGCGCCGCGATCTAGCATAATACCAATGCGGCGATCCCAGCTGCGGCTTACATTCCACGGCGCCAGCGCCCGGCGACCTTCCTCCAGCGCTAGAACCCTAAAAATCTCTAAAACCGGGCTCACTGGAATCGAGCCGGGGCCGAAGAAAAGAATCGGCATCGCCCTAAACGAATATTCTTAAAATTTGAAAAACAATATATGTGAATTCAAACTTTTAAAAATCGGCGGGAGGCCGGTTAATACTCCTCGCCCTCGTCTTCGCCCTCTCCCTCGGTGGAGTCCGCCCCGACTTCCTCGTAATCCTTCTCTAGCGCCGCCAGATCCTCGCGAGCCTCTGAGAATTCTCCCTCCTCCATCCCCTCTCCGACGTACCAGTGAACGAACGCTCGCTTTGCGTACATGAGATCAAACTTGTGATCCAGCCGCGAGAAAACCTCTCCGACGCTTGTCGAGTTTGAGATCATGCATACCGCGCGCTGGACCTTTGCCAAATCTCCTCCTGGAACCACTGTCGGGGGCTGATAGTTGATCCCACACTTGAATCCGGTCGGACACCAGTCCACGAACTGGATCGTCCTCTTCGTTTTGATGGTTCCCACGGCCGAGTTTACGTCCTTTGGAACCACGTCCCCTCGATACATGAGGCAGCAGGCCATGTATTTCCCGTGCCGCGGATCACACTTCGTCATCATCGAAGCCGGCTCGAAGGTTGTGTTTGTGATCTCGGACACTGAGAGCTGCTCGTGGTAAGCTTTCTCGGCGGAGATGACCGGAGCGTAGGAGGAGAGCATGAAGTGAATGCGAGGATAAGGGACTAAGTTGGTCTGGAACTCGGTGAGATCGACGTTGAGAGCCCCGTCAAAGCGGAGTGAAGCTGTGAGGGATGAGATCACCTGCAATAAGAAGCAGACCATATGAGACTCACGCATGAACAAACATCAAGCCGAAAAGAAGCCGAGAAAATCGTCGTAAAACTAGAATCTACTTCTTAAAATGACTTTCAGCAATCGAGGAAAAAGACTGTAGCTACTTACTTGCGAGACGAGCCTGTTCAAGTTCGTGTACGTAGGACGCTCGATGTCGAGTGATCTTCTGCAGATATCATAGATGGCTTCGTTGTCGAGCATCACGGCAACATCAGTGTGTTCCAGCAGTGAGTGTGTTGACAAAACGCTGTTGTATGGCTCCACCACGGCCGTGGAGACTTGTGGAGAAGGATACACTGTAAACGCGAGCTTTGACTTCTTCCCGTAATCTACTGACAGCCTCTCGAGCAAAAGAGAGCCCAGACCCGAGCCGGTTCCACCACCGACAGCATTGAAGACCATGAATCCTTGAAGACCAGTACAGTTGTCAGCAAGTTTTCGTATCCGGTCAAGGCAAAGATCGACTATCTCTTTTCCAACTGCGAGGCACAGAAGACACAACCATAAGAACTTGATTTCAAAGAAGATGTGTGCAATCTTACTTGTGTAATGACCTCTAGCAAAGTTGTTTGCGGCGTCTTCCTTGCCACTGATAAGTTGCTCGGGGTGGAAAAGCTGCCTGTAAGTTCCAGTCCTGACTTCGTCCACCACTGTCGGCTCAAGGTCCAGGAAAACACTCCGAGGGACGTGCTTTCCCGCTCCAGTCTCGCTGAAGAACGTGTTGAAAGCATCGTCTCCACCTCCAACAGTTTTGTCGCTCGGCATCTGTCCATCGGGCTGCAAACGTCCATAAAAGAAACCGGTTAGTCACCTCCATGATGTACAGCTCTATAAGCTAACAGCTTTCGAAGTTTTCTCAAGCACAAAGGTACACAAAAGAAGAAGAGAGGTAAGATACAAGTGTTCGAAGCGAGGGAAGAAACTGGAAGGGAAAATAGTCATCTTCTCAAGAAAAAAAAAGAGTAGAAAGAGCGAGGGAACATAAAACGTTGAAAGAAAAACGAAACATCTCACACAAAACTAACAATTGCAGAGAAAAAAGCTAAAGCCCGAAAACACTTCATTTTGTCAGGGAGAAAAATAAACGAGAGAGAGACGAAAAAAGGGAGGAAAAACAACAGAAAAGATGGATTGCAATCAACCTGAATGCCATGCTCTAGACAGAAAAGCTCCCAGCAAGCATTCCCGATCTGGATTCCAGCTTGCCCAATGTGGATCGAAATGCACTCTCTCATGATTCTATGCTTTCTCCAGCAGCTGATGCACTAAAGAATGCTGGAATCTAAAGCAGGAAATCAAGAAGAGAAGCTCTTGATCGACGGGCGATGGATCGAAAAAGAGCAAACGAGATCTCCCTAAAAGCTCGTCGCGCTCGCGGCTCGCTTTTTATACTTACCTGGCAGGGAGCTGTTTGGCGCGGGGGGGATCACGCAGTAACCGCCCCTTTCAGCCGACAACCGCGAACTGTCCCATGAACTGTCAGCCGGCATAGCCACCGAGGAACCCTAAGCCCTAGCAAAATAAGTTCCCGCCCAAAGAACATAGAATATCCCCGCGTTTGAATTTAAACAGGAAAAGCCAGCGGGAAGGGGCTTCGTCTTTACCACTCTAATACTCTTCGCCCTCGTCTTCGCCCTCTCCCTCGGTGGAATCGGCCCCAACTTCCTCGTAATCCTTCTCTAGCGCGGCCAGATCCTCTCGAGCTTCCGAGAATTCTCCTTCCTCCATCCCCTCTCCGACGTACCAGTGGACGAACGCTCTCTTTGCGTACATGAGGTCGAATTTGTGATCCAGCCGCGAGAACACCTCCGCCACGCTCGTTGAGTTTGAGATCATGCACACCGCGCGCTGGACCTTGGCCAGATCACCTCCCGGAACCACTGTCGGGGGCTGATAGTTGATTCCACACTTGAATCCCGTGGGGCACCAGTCCACGAATTGGATCGTCCTCTTGGTTTTGATCGTTCCCACGGCCGAGTTTACGTCCTTTGGAACCACGTCCCCTCGGTACATGAGGCAGCAGGCCATGTACTTCCCGTGCCGTGGATCACACTTGGCCATCATGGAAGCCGGCTCGAAAGTTGTGTTTGTGATCTCGGACACTGAGAGCTGCTCGTGGTAAGCTTTCTCGGCGGAGATGACTGGAGCGTAGGATGAGAGCATGAAGTGGATCCGAGGATACGGCACCAGATTCGTCTGGAACTCGGTGAGATCGACGTTGAGAGCGCCATCAAATCGAAGCGAGGCCGTCAAGGATGATATCACCTATACAAGAAAACCACGATATGATCATACACTGGCAATGGAAAACTTACTTGAGAGACGAGCCTGTTCAAGTTTGTGTAAGTCGGACGCTCGATGTCCAGCGATCTTCTACAGATGTCATAAATGGCTTCGTTGTCAAGCATCACGGCGACGTCGGTGTGTTCTAGCAGAGAATGCGTCGACAAAACGCTGTTGTATGGCTCTACCACGGCCGTGGAGACTTGCGGCGAGGGATAAACCGTGAAAGCAAGCTTGGACTTCTTCCCGTAATCCACCGAGAGCCGCTCCAGCAAAAGAGAACCCAGCCCGGATCCGGTTCCACCTCCAGTTGCGTTGAAAACCATAAACCCTTGAAGCCCAGTGCAATTATCGGCCAACTTTCGTATCCGGTCTAGGCAAAGATCGACAATCTCCTTCCCAACTGCGAGAGACAATCATCCAACAAAGCAGAAACGAAATCAATCACCAGTTGCGAAAGGTTGATCCAAAAGTTCTCCAATGTTCTTACTTGTGTAATGACCCCTCGCGAAATTGTTTGCCGCGTCTTCCTTGCCGCTGATAAGCTGCTCGGGATGGAAGAGTTGCCTGTAAGTCCCAGTTCTAACTTCGTCCACCACGGTCGGCTCCAGATCTAGAAAAACGCTCCGCGGGACGTGCTTCCCAGCTCCGGTCTCGCTGAAAAAAGTGTTGAAAGCGTCGTCACCGCCACCAACAGTCTTGTCGCTCGGCATTTGCCCATCCGGCTGCAAGGAAATCAAGAACACGAGGAGTCAACATCCGTGGGCCGAGATTTTGAAAGGATTGACCTGGATTCCATGCTCGAGGCAAAAGAGCTCCCAGCAAGCGTTTCCAATCTGGATCCCCGCCTGTCCAATGTGGATGGAAATACACTCTCTCATTGTGAGAACTCTTCGCTCTCTTTTCTTCTCCTTCTCGTTTTGGTCGCGCGCTCTTTTCTTCCTCCTCGCGCTTTTGGAAGAGGCGTTTATCTAGGGTTTTGTGATCGGGAGAATGGCGCTAAGAACCCCCCGCGCCCAGCGTCACGATTTTAACCGCCGTCAAATAACCGCCATGTTCAGCTGAAGTGGAAGGCCGGCTGAACTGTCAGCCGGCATTGGAAGTTCCCAAGATTCGAACCCATGACCGTTGATATTTAGGGCAAAGGGGCAAATTAGGGCAGACAAGAGCGATGATTGATGCCGTGCTCGTGATGAACACGCAGGGGAAGCCGCGGCTCGCCAAGTTTTACAAATCGCTGGTAGGATTTGGTTTTTGCTAGCGCTTGCTGATCGATCGATGGAATTTTTAGAGTCCAGTGAAGCAGCAAGAGATTGTGAGGAAGGTCTACACTGGTAAGATTTTCTTTTGCGTGCCTTGGAGGTTTGTGATGGTTTTCTTTGGGAAGGTTTGTCTAGCAGAGCGGAGCATTTTTGTAACTTTGTCGAGGCGGATGAGATCTTTGGAGCTGTGAGTTTTCATTTCTCTCCTCCTTTATTTTCTTTTGAAGGGAGAGCTAAGATCTTGGACAGGGGACGAAGCTAGTTTACAAGCATTTCGCGACGCTCTATTTCGTGTTTGTGATCGATAGTGGAGAGAGCGAGCTGGGAATTCTCGATCTTATACAAGGTAACACTTTGTTACTTCGAAGATCCCGTTTCATTCACTGGGAAAAATTATAGTTTTTGTGGAGACTTTGGATAGCATCTTTAAGAACGTCTGTGAACTCGACATTGTATTTAACTTCAACAAGGTGTGATCATCCATTTTTTCTCTGTTTGTGATCTTACTCTTTTTTTTACCACTTCCAGGTAAACACTGTTCTTGATGAAATAGTGATGGGAGGCCAAGTTGTGGAGACTAACTCCACGGAGATTGTCAAATCTGTCCAAGAAATTTTTAAGTAAGTTCCTATCTGGTTTTTTTCTTGGCGTGCAAGTAAAGTTCTACTTTTTCCACAGGCTAGAGCGAGGATGAAAAAAGAAAAAACGAATTTTTTGTGTTTTTTTTAATTGGAACTCACTCTCACTCACAAAATTGTTCTAGAAGCCGCATTGGAAACAAAGATGGAAAACTCGCTCGATCTCTCTCGAGCTGGAAGAAGTTACGCGAGAAACAATCTGGAAGACGACTGGAAGTATGGAACGATGATCGGCGCTGAGGGTGCTGCTGGGAACGCTGGTGTCGATGGCTTGTTCTTCGCCTGGAGATCATGGCTGTGATCTCCCTTGTTCATCTTCTTCCCCTCCTGGATCAGAGCCTTGAGATCACAGTCATGATCCTTCTTCTTGGCGATCGAGAAGGAATAGCAGCCGCAGAGAACAATCTTGTTGTCGTCGTTGCTGTCGCTGGGAAGAACTTCTGGAGCACCCATTGATCGCTCTCGAAAAGCTGGAGGCTGGAGGACGAAGAGAGGTTTACGAGCCTTGATTTATATACTGGAAAAACACCGCCTCCCATTTTATGTTAAGCCAGCCCCAAAAAGCTTTAAACCAAGCACATTCTTTCAGCCGATCCATGCAGATTCTCAGATTCTAAGAAAACGTACTTGAAATTAGTGGTCTTCTTTTAGAGCCTCGAATTCTGTGGAGAAACGAATGTTGCCGGTCCTAAAGTCCTCGGATTCTGCGAGAAGAAAAGCGGTGTCAGACGAATGGTTTGTAGCGAGGAGCGAAACTCTCACCGGTTATTACCAAGCACGCAAGTTCCCTGCGGACATATCTCGCAAAAGCCTGAAAGATCGCGAGAGACATTAGAACTCGAGAAGATAAAACTTGATCTCGCTACTCGACCTGCACGTTAGCCAGTTGAGGACCGGATTTTGGCATTGGAGAGTCGTCTTCGGCAAACACATTTCTGTGTCGTGGAAAAAGAGTTAATAACAAAGTTCTTGAACATCTAAGAACTGGCATACCTCCAAAGAGCACGCTCCAAATCTTCTTTCATGGAAGATCCGCTTAGAGCTTTGTCGTAAGCTACAGAGGCTCCATAGAAGTTCTTCTCGAGTTCCTTGAGCCACTTGGTGATTATCATTGTCATCTTTACCTGCGAAACGAGAGCAAAATTCCATCTTTTAGAAAGAATGCGAGAAAGAAAAGTATTCACGCACCCCTTCTTTGTAAATCCTTTGCTCCAAATCCAGATTGAAAACCTCGTACATCGTCTGCCCGATGTTCTCTCCCTTCTCTTCAGTCCGGAGCCTCACAAGAACCATCCACACGTGCAGCAAAAGCATCGCGTGGACAGTCCGGAACTTCTTCTCAAGTCCAAAGCCTGGAAAGAAAGAAGAACAAAAAAAAATCTGTCAAGAACGAGCAAAGACCAACCAAACAACGAGCAAAATCAAACCAACTTACTCGAATAGAGCTCCGGATTCTCGACCTGGCTAGTGATCCGCGCATACAGCCGCTTGGCTCCACGAATTCGCGTGCTCTCTTTGCTGTAGAATCCAAGAACCTTGAGCATCAGGCCCCGGAATCCGCCCGGATGGGGCTCCACGTAGCGGATCATGGAGTCTGGCGGCAGCGCGAGCGAGCAGGGCTTGATCTTGTATCCAAATGCGTCCTCGAGACTTGCCTGCTCTGGCGCCGGGGCCGCCGCCGTTGCCATGGCCGCGCGTAATCTCCACCATGCCGCCGGTGGCCCAAGGCCGCGCGACCCTCGCCTAAGTAGCGCCATTCTCTTTTTGCCCTAACCTCTACTCTCTCTCTCTCTCTTTCATTCCCTGCCCATTGAGGGCATTGGCAAGTCTTTGTGGAACTTTCTCTTTAGGTGATAATAGCACATTCTTTCTTTGTTTTAAAACTCCATTGTCTTGATGGCCCTTGGAAGAACTCCTTTCTCTATTACAGTGTGTTGGCCCATTATGGGCATACTGATAAATTTTTAATTTTTTTTCTCCATTGAGGGCATTTTCTCTATTATCTTGATAACAGTGTGCTATGGCTCAATTTGCCTAATGCCCACAATTAGGCCAACACACTGCCTAATTAGTTCTTAAGTTCTTAAGTTATGAACTTACCAAAGTTCATAAGTGCCTTGTTTTAGAAGAACTTCCTTCGCTATTATCTTAATAACAGTGTGTTGGGCCTCCCAAATGCCTATTGAGGGTAACCTTTTTGCTTGGTGGTGTTTTAGAAGAACTTCTGTAACAGTGTGCCCAATGCCCATTGAGGGCATACTGGTAAGTCTTAAGAACTTCCTTCTCTATACCAGTGTTGGCCATGCCCAGTGCCCATTGGGGGTGTTTTTTTATAACTTTCTTCTGCAATGCTGGTAGGTTTTTTGCCTGAGATGTTGGCCCTGCCCAATGTTGAGGGGCATACTGGTAAATTCTTTGTTTTAGAAGAACTTCTCTCTTGTCTTGATAACAAGGTGGCCATACTGGTAAGTTTCTTATTGAAATTCTTTATTGTCTTGATAATAATGTGTTATGCCCATTGAGGGCATTTTTGGAAGCATTTCCTTCGCTATTGTTTTGATAACAAAGTGTTGGGAGAACAGAGTCTCTTTTCTCTTTCCCGAGGAAATGAGAGGTGATCTTTTGCTGGTGGAAGGACAGAAATCGAGAGCTCGCTGTTTTAATGGATTGCGATTACGATATTGATCGATTCAATGCAAACAACTAGTCCCGTGAAAAGTTAAGCTTCCAAATCCGGATCAAACGGAGTGTGATATCAGGAGGAAGAATTTCACGAGTAAAGTTCGTACGCAACTATAAGAGTGTCGTGTTAATTGATGGCTGGCCGGCCAGTCTGTGTGACACTGCTGCGAGAAAGAAGGAAGAAAAAGTGCAGAGAAAAAAAGGATTTTTTTTGGTTCATGAGTCAGTCACGGGGCCGAGCCTAGCAAAAACGACTTTTTTCGTGCATAAATGCCCAGTTTTTTCAGGTTTTTTTTCTCTCCTTTTTTTTGTGAGCAGCAGTCAAGCAAGGTTGCTGCTGTTGCAGCTTCAATCACTCTCATTTGATCTCTTGTTTGTCCACTGCAGCGGAATTGTTTTCCTTTCGTTTACTTTCTCTTCTTTCTTTCCGAAGAGTTGCTCTCAATTGCGATCTCTTCTTTTGTCTCCGCTTGCTAGGAGGAAGAACGGCAAAAAAGAAAAAAAGAGAAAAAAAACCCAAAGCAAGAACACCATAGCCAGGACCTTAAAGTTGGATCATGTAGTACTACTCAATGGCTCCAAGTGTGTGAGTTTATTTTCTCTCTCCTAGTTTTTTTTTCCTTTCCTGGGTCGAGTCGAGCGAGGGAAGGCTTTGATGATGGCGAGTGGCACTGGAGCCTGGCGCTCTTAGCTGCATTGTTCTTCACTTGGGTCTTGCCAAACGGCCGTAAGGATTCGTGGGTTTCTCCCAAGAAGACTGTTCTCTCGCTCTTCCCTGATCATGTCTCTCGTCGCCCTGGCGGCAGCAGCACCGCCATCACCACCGAGCTCCTCCAGCGGCAATGTAGCTTCCGCCGCCTCCACTCCACCGCCAAGCTCTTCCTCCTCTTGTTCCTCCTCCTCCTCATCGTCCTCCTCGTCCATCCAGAGCGACGAGTTTGCGATGGCTTCTACGCGGCAGCTCTCCGACACCACCGAGTCCATCGACTCCGACTTGGACTCCATCGAAGAGGAAGAAGAAGTGGGAGGAGAGATAGAAGACGAGGAAGAAGATGGAGGAGGGACGAGTAACTTGGGCCCGATCATCTCACTCAAGCAACACCTCGAGCTCGACAAGGTAAGCGAAGCTTTTCCTCCATCCCCAAGAGCTAACGAAGCAAATCATCCAGGAGGACGAAAGCTTGCGGAGGTGGAAGGAACAGCTCCTTGGTCTTGACAAGAATCTCCTCCTCGACATGGATGGTTTGTAGCCTCGATCGAATTCTCCACAAAAATCCAATTTTTTTTCTTCAAACAGGTGTTGCTGCTGGCGAGATGGAGCCGGCTGTGAAAGTCCTGACGCTGGGAATCGAGGCCGAGGGCCGTCCACACTTAAAACTCTCGCTCCCCTTCGCTTCCAAGAGCCATGCGTTCACTCTCAAGGAAGGCTCGAGCTATCGGCTTTGTTTCACCTTCGTTGTCAGTCACAACATCGTCTCAGGCCTCACTTACGTGAACACTGTCTGGAAGAATGGCCTTCGAGGTACGCACAAAGCTCAAAGCTGGCTCTTTCAGATCTTTCCCTGTCTTAAACTTAGCAAAACGCGATTTTTACAGTGGATCACACTCGAACAATGCTAGGAACTTTTGGACCCCGGGCAGAGCCTTACACTCACTTCACTGACGAGGAGACAACACCCTGTGGGATTCTAGCTCGCGGTTCTTACTCGGCAAAGACAAAGGTATGAATGAGATCCCGAAACTTCGCAATCGCTCTCACTCACTCTCACTCGATCAAAACAGTTCCTAGATGACGACAAGAGATGTTATCTGGAGCTGGACTACACATTTAACATCAGAAAGGACTGGCACTGACCCAAGACTCGTAAGCGTTTAACGCAAGAAGAACAAAAAAATCCAGTTTTTTCTTCGTTTCTTTCCTCCAGCATGCAAGCAAGCAAGCAGCAAGCAGTGCTTAACTCACATGAATTGTGAATGGAGGACTGCTGTAACACTGGCTTTTGTGTTGTTGCTTCTTTCCAACAGAGTTTATTTGAGCAACACCGACTAGACTGTACTCACCTGGAACGAGAAAGCACAGCTCGAACGAGTGAATGTGTTGGCCCTGCGAAGCACTGATGCTGGCTTCAATCCCACTCATGCTTCCTGCTCGAGAAGATCGACGATCGATCAGTCCAACCAAAACCAAGGAGGAAGTGCCAACTTACCAGACCACATTACCGAATTTAGGCAACTAGACGAAGTCACGTCCAGGCAAGTGACGCTCAGCTCCATGGAGATCTCATCTTTCGTGTTGTTGGTCACGATCATCTCGACTGGAGTGAGATCGCAAGCCTTTACCGAACGCTGGCCATTGTTCTGCTCGCTCGCCAGCCGGAAGTTAAACGTGAGAGGATTGGACGCTAGAATCTGTGACATGGACTCCTGGACCGCTGCGCGAATGGCATCCGCAACTTGGAGCTCGCCAACGCTGTTTCGTCCCCACTGCCACCTAAACTTCACCTGGTTGATGCTCGTCGAGACTTCCCCTGGTTTGATCTCATCTCTTTCAGAGCTTCCAGTGATCCCGAGCTTGTCGAAAGGTATGAGAACGCGAGAGCTACACTTGCAATCAATCCGGCTGCTGCTTTTGTAGCCTCCATCTTCCTTCTCGTCACCCACACTAACCTGTATCTCGAATGGAACCTCAGCGGGATTCCATAGCTCCAGCTCCAAGAATTGTAAACTCCAGCATCCTCTGTAAGGATCGATCCTCAGTGGTGGTGATCTTTCTTCGGTGCTGTTGACTAAAGCTGGAACTTCCATGGAAAGTAGACGAGCTTGCACCAAAGAGAGTCCTTTTTTTACGTGTAGTTGCAAAGGAAGAGCGAGCTGCCTTCCTAGGGGTGTAGAATGATCGCTCTCTGGACCTGGAAGTAGAGGAAGTGTAAGAACTTTGTACTACAAGCTCTTGCAAAAGAGAACAAAACTTGCCTGCGTAGTGAACGAGAACAAGTGGATGAACTCCGCGATTGTTCTCTGGATTTGTTTCAAGGCCAGCTCGAATCTCCACTGGAACCAAAACGCGAGCGCCTGGAGCTAGAGGGAGTGCTGCCTCGAGAGCTTCGTGGTTGATACGAATGGAATGCTCCTTTTGCTTCGTGCTGACGCTCAAGCTGGCTTCCAAGACGGCCACACTCCCGGCATTGGCGAGCGCGATCTCGACTTCACGGCTTTCTCCTTCGTGCATCACTATGTCTCCATCGCCGCCGACGATGTGAGCAGATAGTAAAGGCAACGGTGGTGCCACCGGAATGCTCCCAGCTGGTGTAAACTTGTCCCTGTGATGTTCACCTCGAAAGGGATCCACCAAAGTCGAGCCTTTGGCCGCCAGAGCCACCATTTCTTCCACTTCCTCAAAGAGATGCTCGGTCACCACGCCAGTGAAGTTGACAAAGCATCCCCGTACCGTAACGCTGCCTGTTTCTCTCGGAACTCCCGACAGAGTTAGAATCTGCGATGTGTTGGGAGGCAGTGTGAGTGACACCGGCGAAGCCTCGAAAGCAGCACCATCGACCGAGAGAGCTATGGACTCGGCAGTGACTTGGAACGTAGACGGGTTTGCCACAGCGACGAGAACTTCCACCATCTCGTCCACCACCCAAGTGATAGTATCCTTGCTGCTACCGCTGCTGTTGCCACTGGCCGTGTTGTTTGCTTTGCTCGCTGTGGCGGACATTGGAGTGTAGATAAAAGGACCAGTCGAGGCCGTGGATTCAATCCACCACTCTTTCTTTCCAGCAACTTTCCGGATGATCTGTGTTTGTGGCTGCGATGGACACGAAGGTAGCGAGAGCAACCTGGTGAAAAGAACTCTCTTAGAGATGCTACGAAAACGACGAGCTTTGTACCTTATAAACGGGAGAGAAGGGACTGAGCAGCGAGTTCCAGGGGGTAGCCTTGCAGAAGCACTGACGAGCGCGGCAACCAAGCTGGCCTGAGCGAAGGGTGTGATGTATGGGTAGTGATATCTCAGCAGTCTCGCTCCAGCACTCCAGGCAAGTAATGGATCGCCTGCTCGGACAGCGGCCGCTAACACATCACCCAGCACATTAATTTGCAGAGCGTTCCAATCCCCTGACACTACCTCTGGTGACGTCTCGCATGAATCGCTTTGATCAGGCTCCTTTTGCTACAAGAAAAAAAAAACCACAAGTGAGAACACACAAGGATAGGAATAAAACTTCGAAAACTTTGGAAGTGTTTCTCAGAGAAGAACTAAAAGCTTACCTTGATCGAAGACTTGTTTACGTATTCCACGCCGTAGGATCTGGCAGCGAGCAAGAGAAGCTGCAGTGCGCTGTTTGCAGCCTTGGTGGTTTCTTGCGATTGATAGTAATGGGCTACTTGACGGGAGAAGAACGCAGACTTTCGCTCGTAACCAAGAGTCCCAAAAATGCGAGCCACCTCCACGAACAACACAACCTGGTCGTTGACATCGGTTAAGTTTCTTCCGACTTCCACGGCGTTGCTGAGAAGCTCGCAGACTTCTCTCGACAGCTCGTTTCCACGCTCCCTTCTGTGCAACAAAGGCAAAATCTTGTCTTTCCTTTAGTTCCTAGAAAATCCACAAGGTTTTACCGGCAGAGGAAGCGAGCCAGTTTCAGTTGTGCCTCGACTTCGAATATATATGCAGAACAACTGAAAAAGAAGAAAGACAAAGTGAGAATTGTGTCGAGTTTCGAGTGATACATACCGCCTGTATAGCTGAATGGCTTCGTAGTATTTATATCGCACCTCATCCTCGAGAAGTATGTCTGATTCAACACCCGGGGTTACCTGCAAGCTTCATATATCAGAAACAAAGATGAAAGATAGCGGGAAGAACTTGAGATCTTACGACAAGAGCGCAAATGCTGCCTTCGATCTCGCCAGCATTCCAAAGCGAATCACCAGTGTGCCTTGACAACTCCATAGCGGTGTTGTAATGCGAGATAGCATCGGCAGGAGAGCCAGCGAGTAGACTGTAATCTCCCATTGTCTTCTGGACACGCTCCAGCCTCCGCCGTTTGGCTTTGCTAACCTTCGAAGAGTCGATGATCCAACAATCAGCATTTCATTCTTTTCCATAGATCAAGCAAGAAAAAACTTTCACCCACCTCTTCGGAGCTGAGCGAGACGTGTGAGTCCATTGGAGTTGTGAGCGTCGCTCCCATGGGCTCCGCGAGAAGAACTCGGCTTTCAAAAGCCATGAGGATCGATGCAGCAAAGTCGTGCATCAGAGTTCCGACGTGATGCTTGAGCATTTGCTTGTCAACCGGAGGAAACAGCACCATCTGCTGCCTCTTCTTGTCATCCTGCTCCACCTGATTTAAAATTTCACGATCGAATCCATCAGTTCAAAGAAGAACAAAGCAAAGCCAAAGAAAACTCCTAAGAACTCTAAATGCCAAAAGAGTGAAAGAAACCATTCGGTATGCCAAAAGAATGAAATGGAGATTAAATGAATCCATCAGTTCAATGAAGAACAACAGCAAAGCCTACGACAGAAAAGAAAAGTTCTAAGAAATCTAAATGCCAAAAAGAGTGAAAGCAAACACTTTGGTATGCGAAAAGCCTTCTAGAACAAGCACAGGTAAATGCCACAAGCCAAAAGAGAGAGCTCGTAAGGCCCACTAGAAAGAAATGTAAGTTCTAGCCACCCCAAAGACAAAGTAAAGGAAGAGAAAACAAAGAGAGAAAGGAAGAACACCAAAATGCCGCTTCTGGGCAAATGCTGTAAAGAAGGGAATAGAAGCAAATACCTGTTCTTGGGTGGGAGAGAAGGCAAAGCACCTCCTCGTTTGCGCGGCCGGGTACTCGTTGCAAATCTCCACGAATTTCTCATACGCGGCGTCCAGATCCGCCACATCGGGGCAATGGAGCACGCCAATGCAGCCATGGACCTTGCGATGCGCCTGGAAATCCTCCCACTGGCTTCGATTCGCCCTGCCAATCACGAATTGGAAGCGCAGGCATCCATTCTCCCAGGGCTGGAGACCAAATGGGCTCTTCTGGTCCTCCTTGTAGAAGCTGCTGGTGGCTTGGAGCTCGATCCGGGCGTGCTGGGTCACCATCTCTGTGTAGTCGCGGAGGCGATGGAGAGGCATCGATCCAACGCCGACCACCACGACACGGATCTTGCATCCATTCTCGATGCACACGTCCGGCTCCATCGCCCAAAAGATGCAAAACCTTGATCCTACCTGTTGCCGGACTCGAACACACGACTTTGTCAATTTGTTTACTAAATTAAAAATAATTCAATTATATTATATATATTCTTGTTATTATTGATTAAAATTTATTTAAATAAAACATTTAGTTTTAAACATTTCCTATGTTATGTTATTAATATTAACGTATTATTTGTTTAATTACCAACTTTGTACTCTTGATGATAATGATACTCATCAACCAATCTTTTACTTCAATCTTGAGTTTGTCTCATGTTCAATTTTGCCAACTTTTTGCATATCCTCTAGAAAATCACAAACATGAAGCATTATACATAAATACTTTTATGTATAAATTTTATCATTCAACTTTGAAAAATCTAGAAGTTTAAAGTTGTATCGAAGTAGCCTATCAATTCTACTCCTCAAAAAATGCAGCTTTGAGATCATCTACGGCTTTTTTCCTGGCATCGATTATGTCACGAACGTCCTTCTCGGTCCAAGCGAGAGCACCATCTCCAGCAACGATTCGGATCAAACTCTGGAAGAAGAGCTTGGTATGATCGCTAGAACCAGATCCAGGAACTCTCACATCCGGCAGCGTAAACTCCTTGCGGGGCACGTAGAGCATCCCATGGACATACTCCCCGTCTGGATACGTAGCATACGAGTCCTTGGAATGTTTCCGCAGGAAACCAGTGCCATCCTTGAGCATTATGTCGAAGTTCTCATCGCCCCTGCTATGACTGCCAATGAAAAAACAAAAATCACAACTTTGATCAGCGAAAAGAAACATTATACTCACCTCCAGACTTTCACAACTCGATTGTTCTCCACTTTGACGATGC